TCAGCCCATGCCACAGCTTGGATCTCCATGCTGCGAGCTCACCCAGCTGCGGTCCCCAGCTGGCCAGCTTGCCCCTCCTGCCCCTCTGCTGGATTTCATGTTTCTGCAGCAGAAACACCAGTACCTGTCTCCTTCCAAATACATGTGCTCACCTTGTCTCTCAAAATAAAGAATACTAATTTTCAGCTAGACAGCTTGCAGTCAGCTAGGAGTCTTGGTTTCCCAGCCTCCCTTGTCTCTAAGTACTGGTGAGTGAGATGTGTATAAAGGTCTGTGGAAATGGAGGAGTTCTGTGCAACTTCCAGGAAGCCTCTTTGGAAAAGAGGAAACATGCCCTTCTTCCTCCCTTTCCCCATCCTACCTCCGGTAGGATGGGGTCTGATGCCTGCTGTAGTGACCACAGGGAACTGCTGGATGAGAACCGTATCCTCAGGTGGCTGAATGGAGAACAGGAAGGGCTGTGGGTTCCTGATGACCCTGGGGCTGGCCCTGCTGCCCTGGATGGCCCTCCCCTAGAATTCTTTACAGGAGAAATAAGTCTCCCATCATATTTAAGCCATGCCCTTTCAAGTTTTCTGCCACACAGGGTAATGACCAGTCCTAACCGAAACCCTTTCTTTCTTTCCCCAAATTATAAATAACACTAGGCTATTTTGAGCCAAAAAAGCATTCAATGGAAACTTGACAGTAACCGTATAAAGGTATAAAATGGAAAGGAATTACCGCAAATTCAGTGGAGGACATCCCTGTTTCTAGATACTTGTTATCACTCCCCTGCTGTGGAAATATTCTTCAATGTCCATGCTCACCCACAAGTCCCCTGCCTTCCATCACATTCATGAGGCTCTCCTTCCTCCTCGTTCGATTGTCACTTAGATGATCTCTGGTTGACTCACCGTAACTCGAAATTCCTCTCACTCTATCTTGTCAAACAGTCCACGCCTGTCCTTATCCCACTGACTCCATCCAAATGAGACCGACAGCATTGTGTTTCTCAAGCAAAAATGCCATCAGAGCCCATCTCGGTGTTTTCACCAACAAATAACCAACTACTCCAGAGATAATTTAAGCAATTCCATCAGAAGGAAAAAGCAGCTACCATACATTTTTTCATAGTATTTTTCTTTCTACTCTATATTATTAAGAAGTAGGGAAAATACACCTGTGAAAATTTAATGAAATCAGAAATTCCAGCACAGATTTTCGCAGAGTTTCGGTGTATCATGAAAAGTGCCTAGGAAGGCATGAGACCCGATGCTGGCAAAGGCGCTGTGATTTATGTGAAAGCAGAAGCCATCTCTCCTGACACAGAGTTCCACCTCCGGTGATCCGTCACGCCCCCCCCCCCCCCCCCCCCCCACCCCGCAAGTCCACACACCCAGCTCCGGCTGACGCCTGCAGACACTGCCTACCAGGCCTGCCCCTACTTCCTGCACTTTATGATTTTTCTCTTCAACGGTCATGGGATGCAACTTCTCTCATTTAAGACACAGCATAAAAGGTTTGCCTTCTTACTCTCTTACCCGTAGCTTTCAATGAACGCACGTGCTCTGAGAGCCCTGCTATGGGATCCACAGCCTTCTCTTCACTGCCAGTTACTGCAATTATCCATCAGATTTCACATGGATGTTGGAATCAAGACCCCACCTGACAGTGTCTTACCTCACCTCCATACTTTTTCATCTCCGCTCGACCTCGGATACTTAAGAGCGTATCTGAACATGTCACCATCTAACACTTCACTTCTTAAATCTTCAACTCTGATTTTCTATCACTAACAATTTTTAGCCTTCCACCTTTCTCTTCCTCACTCCCACTACAACTACTTTTTTAAGCCTTTTGAGATAATTCTGGGAAAAGAAGGCAGAGCAAAAGATTCTCTGTCCCTTTCTTAGAAACTATCCAACAATAATCAGGAGAAAACCAGAAAAGACCACCTCATCTTCAATAAAAACTGATGAAAGTCCGTAACTCTGGATGAAAATACATAGAAAAGAGTTCCAAAGGGCAATGATGATTAGACCAGGGCCTTGAAAGTGTGACCAGGATCTCAGCAGAACCCAGGCAGTGTATGCAGCGTGCTGAGTTCACCGTAGCTACATCCCACGTTCAGGGGCAAACAGTGGTCTCTGGTTAGAATAGCAAGATTCCCATGTGGGACGGGCAGCGGGAGCCTCCAAGATGCCTTTGTGTTGCAAAGAAGTGGCCCCAGGAAGGTGGAACTGAAAGAGGAAATATATAAAAAAGCTGTCGGGCTTCCCTGGTGGCACAGTGGTTGAGGGTCCGCCTGCCGATGCAGGGGACGCAGGTTCGTGCCCCGGTCTGGGAGGATTTCAAATGCCGCGGAGCGGCTGCACCCGTGAGCCATGGCCGCTAAGCCTGCGTGTCCGGAGCCTGTGCTCCGCGACGGGAAAGGCCACAACAGTGAGAAGCCCGCGTACTGTAAAAAAAAAAAAAAAAAAAAAAAAGCTGTCTGCCATGGGAATGACAGCACAGAGAATAAAATACGGTAGCAAGCAGCCCTGCAGGTGCTAATCTTGCCCACTGGAGAAGGAAAAAAGATCTCAGCACGCCTGTGTGTGCATGTGTGGATGTAGGCACATCCCCCACCTCGTACCACGTTCTAGACTTCACAGAGCCCCGGGGGGACCTTCTTGTAACCCCGAGGGTGTGGGGAAACTGGCTGATCTTCAAAACCTGCAGGCCCACCCTTTCCTCTGATACCTCACCCAGCTCTCTTTCAGAACTGCTCACCTTTCCAAGATGAACAATACTAAGAATAATAAGAAAACACTTAGAAAAGGAGCAGGACGCAGAGAGGAGCACACTACACAAAAGGCAGATGAAGATCCTTTGTCAAAAAGTAAAGACAACAAAATAGGTGATGTTATTTGCACGCCTGACTCTCTGCACCAGACTGTGGCCTAGTGTTCCCAGCACCTAGCAGTGTGGCTGGTACATACTAAATATTTCATCTAGATTTGATGAGTAAAGAAGTGACTTTCTAAAGTGGCATTTCAGATATTATTGGTCTCCTTCTGAAAATGATTTGGGGTGACTGGGCCCTCCTGGATTTCCTGAAATGAAACAAATATGTGTAGCTTTCTTTGCTAAGTTTAATAAAGACAGGTTGTTTTGAAAGTCTAATTAAATTCAACAAATATTCGTTGAGTCCTTACTATGTGCAGATTACTCTGCTGGGTTCTACCATGGATTTAAAAACAAGATCTGATTCTAATTTGAAAAGATACGTGCACCCCAATGCTCATAGCAGCACTATTTACAATAGCCAAGACATGGAAGCAATCTAAGTGTCCATCGACAGATGAATGGATAAAGAAGATGTGGTACATATATACAATGGAATATTCCTCAGCCATAAAAAGAACGAAATAATGCCATTTGCAGCAACATGGATGGACCTAGAGACACTCATACTGAGTGAAGTAAGTCACACACAGAAAGACAAATATCATATGATATCGCTTATATGTGGAATCTAAAAAAAGTATACAAATGAACTTATTTACAAAACAGAAACAGACTCACAGATATAGAAAACAAACTTATGGTTACCAAAGGGGAAAGGGGGTGGGGAAGGGATAAATTAGGAGTTTGGGATTAGCAGATACAAACTGCTGTAAAATAAATAACTAGGTCCTACTGTATAGTACAGGGAACTATATTCAATATCCTATAATAAACCATAATAGAAAAGAATATATATATGTATAACTGAATCACTTTGCTGTACATGAGAAACTAACACAACACTGTAAATCAACTATACTTTAATAAAAAAATATATCTATAAACAAGACCTCGAGGGGTTGAATATTCACTATTTAATTAATTACATTTTTAATTTTAAAACGTTTCTTAATTAGTCTGGGGAAGGGCAAATGCTGTTTCCTGACCACCAGAATCTATTCTAACAGTAAAACCATTGCTACTATTCCAATATAACAACAGACAGAATAGGTAGATGATTCAAACTCTTTTAAATAGTGCAAATGAACTGGATTTCTTTTAAATTTAATAATAAATGAATATTGTAATAAGTTTGCATGGAGACAGATGCAAATTACTGTGGTGGTAACTTCATAATGTATGCAAATGTCAAATCATTATGCAGCACACCTGAAACCAATACAATATTGTATGTCAACTATATTTCAATTAAAAAATTCTTGAAAGATACTTAATTCCTCATTTCAAGATAAATAATAAGTGGTCATGGTAAATGAAGTTCATACATTTATGTACTCATTCAACAAGTATTTGTAAAATGCCTTCTATTTGGAAGATGCTATATTATATTAGGCAGTTTGGGAGTTCCTAAATCTGATACTCAAAGTATAGGTGATATATGACTGTGATACATTTTAAATTTTTGTTTGTAAACGAATGGATTTTTATTCAGAGTTTAATATTAGAGGAAAGGGGAGATTTTGGGTTTCTGGTTCCGCATGTAAGGAGTCTGGAAGTTGCCACTCCCTCCCAACGACAAGTAAAAAGCTGAACTGGGCTTCCCTGGTGGCGCAGTGGTTGGGAGTCCGCCTGCTGACGCAGGGGACACGGGTTTGTGCCCCGGTCTGGGAAGATCCCACATGCCGCGGAGCGGCTGGGCCCGTGAGCCATGGCCGCTGAGCCTGCGCGTCCGGAGCCTGTGCTCCGCAACGGGAGAGGCCGCAACAGTGACAGGCCCGCGTACCACAAAAAAAAAAAAAAAAAAAGCTGAACAGACGGAAGAATCAATAGCTTTTCTTGGATCCATGAGAGACATGAGGACACAGGCCAAACTGCTGTCCCCAAGACTGGAGAGACAGACAGTCAAATACAGGGAGCTGGGGTTTACTGGAGCCGAAACAGCTATGGGAACTAATGCTGGGGGGGAACCCTGCACTGTAATTAATGAATTGCTGGAGACTCAGTGCCGACAACGCTGAGAGGTAAACACTGCAGTCACAGGAGGTCCCCCATAGTTTTGTAACACTTACCTCCAGGATCTTGACAAGGCTTCTACGGTGAGTATCTGAGAAAAATCTCCTCGGGCTCCGGCAGTGGGAGGGGAAAAGGAACCATCTGAAATACACCAGAGCACTGGCTTCTTAACAAGGCTGCCCTCAGGTGAAACTAGTTAACCAGAGCCTAGCCTGCTGGGAGATTTTCAGAGCCTAACTGACTGCGGGAAAGGGAAATACCCAACTGCAGCCCGCTCCAGCCATCCTGCCCCACCTAAGAGGGGAGAGAAAACTGAGAAACACTTGTGAAGCTCATAGCCCAGCGGCCTCCACTCCCTGAATTCTGAGACCTAATCACAGGACTCCCACTTCACCACCAAGGTACTAAGGCCAATTTACAGCACTTCTTTCACCTGGTACATCATGTCCCGCTATCAAGAAAAATTACAATGCTTACCAAAAGGCAAAAAACATAATTCGAAGGGAAGGAGCCAGCATCAGAGCCAGACATGGCAGGGACGGTAGAATTATCAGACAGGGGATTTAAAACAACTGTGATTAATACGCTGAGGGCTCTGACGGGTAAAGCAGACAGCATGCAAGATCAGATGGGCGATGTCAGCAGAGAGATGGAAATCATAAGAAAGGAAAAGAAATGCTAGAGATCAAAAGCACTGTAACAGAAATGAAGGACGCCTTACATAGGCTTGTTAGTAGACTAGACACAGGTGAGGAAAGACTCTCTGAGCTTGCATATATGTCAATAGAAACCTCCAAAAAGAGAAAAGAGACTGAAGAAAACAGAACAGACTACCCAAGGACTGTGGGGCAACCACCAAACATGTAACATGTATGTAATGGGAATACCAGATGGAGACGGAAGAGAGAAAGGAGCAGAAGAAATAGTGGAAAAAATAGTGACTAAGAATTTCCCCAAATTAAAGTCAGACACCAAAACACAGATCCAGGAAGCTCAGAGAACACCAGGATAAACACCAACACAATCTGTATGTAGGCGTATCATCTTCAAACTATCGAAAATCAAAGATAAAGAAAAAATCTTGAAAGAAGCCAGAGGAATATAACACTTTACCTACAGAGGAACAAAGATACAGATTACATCCAACATCTTCTCAGAAACCATGTGAGCAGGAAGAAAGTGGAGTGAAATACTGAAAGTATTGAGAGAAAAAAGCCTCCAACCTAGAATTCTGTTCCCTGGGAAGTTATCCTTCAAAAGTGAAGGAGAAATAAAGACTTTCTCAGACAAACCAAAATTGAGGGAATTTCTTGCCAGTAGACCCTCCTTGCAAGAAATGTCAAAAAAAGTCTTACAGGGAAGGAAATTAACACAGGTCAGAAACTGGGATCTACATAAAGAAAGGAAGAGCATCAGAGAAAGAATTAGGGAAGGTAAAATAAAAACTTTTATTTTATTTCTCTGATTCTTAATTGATCTATCAGATAACAGTATGTTGAAAATAACAGCAACAATGTATTTGGTTACATATGCTGATGTATGTATATTAAGTACACATGTGCTTAAGGATGCTTATGTATAAACAAAATGAAAGTAGGAATGCTACAAAGGACAGGAGGGAGGAATTAGGATTATTTTGTTACCAGAAGGTACTCACACTGTCTGTGGTGTGGTGCTCTTCCAACATGGACTTGGATTAATTATAAACGTATCTTGAGAATTCTAGGGCAACCACTACAAAGTTAAAGAAAGAAGTATAACTGATATGCTAATAAAAGAGAGAAAATGGAATCTCATAGAATGCTCAATTAAACCACAAAAGGCAGAAAAATAGTGGAAGACAAAAACAGGAACAAAGAACAAGGGCAGCAAATAGAAAACAGTAACAAATATGGTAGCGATGAATCCAACTATATCAATATCAGATACAAAGTAGTGCTTACATTATTACTGTTCAGTTTATCAAGGAAAAGTCAGGAACTGGCTAAAAATAGCATATGCCCACATATTTACCATATAATCTCATTTCTTTTCAATTCATATGAGGGCTAGAAAGAAATGGGGTTTATGAGAAACGATATAAAGAAAAATGCCTTTTAAAAATCAATTTTAATAAAAGAAACTCTAGTCCTTTTGATTATTCAGGATCTCCTAAGGTATGTTCCTCGGAAATCTTCTTCCAAAGTACAAAGAATAGTTCAGGAGAAAAGGTGTATGTGGTCAAATGGGTTTGGAGAATGTTGCATTCTATAAATTCCCTTCTGGAAATTTACAATACACATAAGCAAATCAAAGAGTCTGAAAGGATAAAGAAGATGTGGTACATATATACAATGGAATATTACTCAGCCATAAAAAAGAACAAAATAATGCCATTCACAGCAACATGGATGGACCTAGAGATTGTCATACTGAGTGAAGTCAGACACAGAAAGACAAATGTCATATGATATTGCTTATATGTGGAATCTAAAAAAAAAAGGGTACAAATGAACTTAGGTACAAAACAGAAGTAGAGTCACGGATGTAGAAAACTTATGGTTACCAGGGGATAAGGTGGGGGGGGAGGGATAAATTGGGAGATTGGGATTGACATGTACACACTACTATATATAAAATAGATAACCAATAAGAACCTGCTGTATAGCACAGGGAACTCTACTCAATACTCTGTAATGGCCTATATGGGAAAAGAATCTAAAAAAAAAAAGAAAGAGTGGATATATGTATATGTATAACTGACTCACTTTGCTGTACACCTGAAACTAACACAACATTGTAAATGTAAATCAACTATACTCCAATAAAAAACTTAACTTTTTTTTTTAATTTAAAAAAGAGTCTGAAAAGTCCCAGAGTAAAGGAAGTTTATTTAGCCTGATATTTCCCAAATTTTAGAAAGCACAAAGAAATTCTGGCAAAAAAAAATGTGATGTTGTAACTCAAAAACACAAGATTCTTAAGATGGTCAAGTGACCTTAGCTGGAGATGAACATGATCCATGTCTATGGCCATGGTCTCTGTCATCTCCTGCTGGTGTAAAGGTGCCCCTTTCCTGTTTAAGGACCAGCTCCTCCAAGTGCACTCTGGTTGCCATCCCCTGTTACTTTCTCAAGGACTTCATTCCTACATCATCAATTTTCTATTGATGTTTTTCTCTATTAAGATGCTGATCCAGTAAGTATGAAAACATTTCTTTGTAACCCAACTTGGAAACAGATGTTACTTGAAAAATGTCAAGTTGCCACCCATTTCTTTGCTCCCCTGTTACAGCACAATTCCTGGAAGTTTCTACTTGACATCGCTTCTCAATGATGTTACATAATCATTCTTCAGTCTGTTTTAATCTGGCTTTCTTCCACACCGCTGCACTGAATTGTTGTCAAGGTCTCAAAAAATTCCATGTTGCCAAATTCTGTAGACATTTGTAAATTCTTATTTTAATTTACACTCAACAGCATTTCACGTACTTGGCCACTCATTCCTTGAAATACCACCTTTATTTCTGCGACCTCATGCTCTTCTGCTTTTCTCCATGTCTCACCTCAGCCACCTCTGATGACTTCACTGCTGCCACCTGACCTCAAAAAGTAAGAATTCCCCAGGTTCAGTTCAGCTTACTTGTGTTTTCCTCACCTCTTACTAGATAATTTCATTCATTTCCATGGCTTTAAATAACGCACATGACTAGATTATGAGTGCCAAATGCACAGGCCCAGTTCCTAATTCTGCCCTGAGCTCTGAATTCTTAGAGCCAGCTGCCTATTGACATGTTAGCATATATGCCACGTGCATCTCAAAGGTAGCAATTCCAAAAGGTGCTTTCCCACCTTAACCCAACTTCTGCTTCTGTGTTACATATCATGATAAACTGCACTTCCTTCCACCCTGTAACACTGGACAAACACTCCGGAGTCATCCTCTGTCCTCCTTCCGTTATCCCTCACATCTAAGCCATTAACAAGACCTGCCAATTTTCCCCTCGCAAACCTGTGCACTTGAACCTGTCTACTTCTCTGCATCTCCATTTCTACTATCTGAGTTCAACCATCTTCTCTCGCCTGGACTATTGCTATTGCTTCCTAGCTGATCTGTTTCTCCCCTTGCCTCTCTCCAGTCAATACTCCCCATGGCACGTGAGTGACTTACAAAAGTGCAAATCCAGTTGACTCACTCCGCATCCCGCTTGTTAAAAGCCTCCAGTGGCTGGCTCACTAGCTCGGATACAGCACAGCGGTCAAGGTCTGGTTAGCAGCTGCTTCCTCTTGGTCCAGTTGCTACTTTCCTCCCTGCGCATTGGCTTTTCTGCTTTCTGTACTCTTCCCCTAAACACGCTTGGCTCTTCCCCTCCTGTTCTTTCTCTACCTGATTGTTCTTCCCCTCTTTTGCATACAGCTGACTTCTTTCATATCTCACCTCAGTCCATCCCTGACCATCCTACCTAAAGCTGCCAGCACACCCATGAGATTCCGTCCCACCTCCATGTTTAGTCCCCTCAAAGCACGTCAGATGATCTGCATGGATGGCGTTTCCTATGAAGGGGTGATGGTGAGTTGGGCTGGGTGCGATTTGGGTCTTTGTTTGTCTTCTCTGCACACACCTCACACACATCCCTGAGCATGGAGATATTTTCTGTCTAGTTGACCACTGTAATCCCAATGTCCAGAGTAATGCTGGCACAGAATAGCTCCTAAATTAATATTTGTTGGATAAATAAATCCATAATCCTCATTATAAACAAAGGCTTACAAAAATATGTGATTATTCCTCTGTGTCAACCCAGATGATCTAATCCTGGTGAATTTCAATGGAAAGTGAGTCTAAGGAGGCCAGTCCAGGTTACAATAAGAAAACAAAACTGCAAGTGAAATATGGACTTCCTAAGGTGATATACATCCCTAGTGCACCTGAGGTTTAGGGATGGAAATAATTCACCACCAATTTTGGGAGGAAATTTCAGTTAAATGACACATCTCATGGCATCCACATCTCCTTTTCAAATCGCAGCTTCTAATATTGTGAATTGAAAATCCTGGGGCTTCCCTGGTGGCGCAGTGGTTGAGAATCTGCCTGCCAGTGCAGAGGACACGGGTTCGAGCCCTGGTCTGGGAAGATCCCACATGCCGCAGAGCAACTAAGCCCGTGCGCCAGAGCTACTGAGCCTGCGCGTCTGGAGCCTGTGCTCTGCAACAAGAGAGGCCGCGACAGTGAGAGGCCCGCGTACCGCGATGAAGAGTGGCCCCCGCTCGCCGCAACTAGAGAAAGCCCTCGTACAGAAACGAAAACCCAACACTGCCAAAAATAAATAAATAAATTTATTTTAAAAAAGGAAAGAAAATCCTGGACTCCAAAGAATTCTTTCCTCTCTACTCACCTTTTTCAAATCTTTTCACTAAAATGTAATTTAGAGTTTAGCCACTTGAGGGCGCTTTAGATCTTTTACATACACTCCCTTTTAAAAAAATGCCAGGCACCTTTCAAAAAGGCCAGAATTAATTTCCCTACAAATATTACATCCTTGATTCTGACACTTTTAAATCTCTATTAAATCTCTAGCTCCTAAAATTCAAACAAGCTATTTCTAATCCAGGAAACTGTGACATCGCTGGCTCATGACTTAATCTTATTCAAGTTGTCATTACAACACCGAGCCTCTGTCTTCAGTTTCTCCTGAAGAGATCACAGCGCTATCCATTTTAGGTTAATGATTCACAACGAAGGTGAGCTTAGACTCACGCCAGAGAATTTTCGAAACGTGCACTTCTGAGCCCCACTCTGTTCATTCAGACGCATTAAATTACAACCGCCGGGGCACAGCATTAGCTTAGGAGGTTTTTAGAAGTTCCCCAAGTGCTTTTTTTTTTTTTTGCGGTACGCGGCCCTCTCACTGTTGTGGCCTCTCCCGTTGCGGAGCACAGGCTCCGGACGCGCAGGCCCAGCGGCCATGGCTCACGGGCCCAGCCGCTCCTGCGGCATGTGGGATCTTCCCGGACCCGGGCACGAACCCGTGTCCCCTGCATCGGCAGGCGGACCCTCAACCACTGCGCCACCAGGGAAGCCCCCAAGAGCTACGTTTTTATTTTACGTCTTTTTATCCCAAGCCCAGGCAGTCAACTCACTCAGGAGACAGCAGGAGAGCACCATCTTCACTTCACTTCTCTTTGAATCTGGGTCTCATCCTGATGAAACATGAAGACAGACATGTTGTGTAGGAGGCGCCGTTTCCACGTTATTCTAACCTGGAATGAACGCTGACATCGTGCGCTCACATCAAGAGAGTGTGACGTGCTGTACTTTGGGAGGAAAGAGGCACAGCCTCCTACTCTGATGCACCAGCGTATGATGTCACCTGCTGGTGCCTCTACTCCCCATCTCCAAGATGCAGAAACGAAAATATGTGCCTCTGTGGGGACTGGACGGACAAGACGTTGTATGTGATGTGGCCAGTTGCCCCCATGTCCACCCCCACCCCTTCCCATGCTACTTCCTGGTCCGCCGCGGCCAGAAGAGGGAGGCCCACTCCCTGGCAGCAGGGACTCTGGGTGTGAGCTGTGTTCTGTCCACCAGAGGCAGATGCTGGACAGGAGCGAGAGGCCATGTTCCTGCAGCTCAGCCATCTGTGCTGGCAAGCAAGGTGTCAGACTCGGAGGTTTCCTGCCGCGGAGTTCCAGTCCACTGTCCGGATTTTTCAGTCTTGTGAGACCTGTGGCCTTATGTCGGGGCCAACCTCAGAGGTGGGAGCTCCTTGGGCCTGTGTCATCCCGGCGGGCATCCCAGCCACCCGAGAACCTGCTTCCCTGGCTCTTCCCTGACTGTAAGGGCTGCACTCTCTGTCTCTACCCACTTCCACTTTAAATCTCTGGAGGGGCTTCTGTTTCCTACCCTGAACCTTGCCTAATACAGACATACAAAGTGCTTAGTAGAGTTTCTGGCACTTAAAAGTTGCTTTAAAAATGTTAGCTATTATTATGGTTTATATTTGACCTTTTTAAAACGTTTAAAATTGATATATAGTTGATGTACGATATTATAAATTATAGTTGTACAACATAGTGATTCACAATTTTTAAAGGGTATATGCCATTTATAGTTATTATAAAATACTGCCTACACTCCCTGTGTTGTACAATATATCCTTGTAGCTTATTTATTTTATACCTAGTAGTTGCACCTCTTAACCTCCTACCTGTATCATCCCCCTCCCCACTGGTAACCACTAGTTTGTTCTCTATACCTGTGAGTCTGTTTCCTTTTTGTTATATTCACTAGTTGGTTTTATTTTTTAGATTCCACATATAAGTGATGTCATATATTTGACCTTAGCCACATTAAGCCCGTTTCCTTCTCTGTAAAATGGTGACCTGCTTCCATAACTGCTGTGTAGATAAAATCAGATAACGTATGGAAAGTGCTTAGCACCAGGTGTAAGGGTTCAAAACTTTTATCTATAATTATCATTTTGACTGGGTTCCATTGTTATTTTTTTTACCAACGTATAAATTATTTTGATACTAGTCTTTTAGTATTGAACTAAAAATCTTGCATACTTGATAACACCATATATAACAGCTCTGTACAAGTGTATGCCAATGTCTAGGCTATTGACCTGTCCCAGATTTCTAAATGTAGTAATACGTTACACAGAGAGCCAGGCTGAACTAAAATAATAATAATATTTTCTCCAAACTAAATCATCTGATTCTGATCTGTGGAATTTTTCTTTGGACTTTGCTCTGTAACCACTAGAGGGCAGACAAACACGGTGGAAAATCAGTACTTACCAGACAAAGCAGTAGAGTCTTGATCTGCTTTTTGAATGTGGGTAGAAGCCGTATTTTTCAGTTTCTCCTGTCGCAGCAACCAATGAAGAAAGTAGAATAATGATGCTTCATATGTAAGAACACAAATTTCAGTTAAAGTATCATGTATTTTTTTTAACTTAATAGTTTCATAAAATTAATAAGCACAATTTTCCACCACAGACCTATATAAACTTTAAAGCAAAACCACTCAACGACACATGCATGGATTTCTTAACTTAGAAGAGAATTAAGCAGTGAATGACTCATTAGAATAGAAGCAGAAGCACACTGTGGTATCATAGTGAGCATACCATGCACCTGGGCATATGGAGACCTGGGGATACACAAACGGGCCCATTTTACCATTAGGTGCTGTTGGTGCAGTGCTTGGGGTTTACACATTGTTCAAGACACTAGGAAAAAGTGTGAGACTTGTAGAAAAATCGACTCCCAACTTCAAAATGAAAACTGGTTTTTCAATTTACACACACACACACACTGAAGCTAACAAACCAGACCCCCAAAACAACAAACATCTGCTGGGGTTCTGATGGAATAGTATTAATCAATTTTCTTAAAATTACCACCTTTACAAGGTTGAGTCTTACAATTCATGAATTCAATAGTATTTAGATCGTATTTAATTCCTCTAAAGAATATTTTACAATGTTCTACATAGAGTTCTTGCACCTAGGGTTAAGTATTTGGATTATTTATATTGCCTTAAATAGTATCTTGTTCTTAAAGTTTAATTTCTACCTGTGTTACTGGTATATGCAAATGCAATGATTTCTGTACACTGGCTAGAATCAGCACACTTGCTAAATTCTCTCATTAGTTGATACTATTTATGTATAAAATCTCAACTTTTTGATTATATCTTATGCAAATAATGCCTATTTCCTACTGTGCTAACATTAAAGTGTTGTCTTTTTCTTACTGCGTTGCTTGGGGCCTCCAGTATACTAGGACACAAAGTAGTGACAGCACATCCTAAAGTTGTTTCTGATATGATGGACGTTTTCAATCTTTCACCATCAAACACATTTGCTAAGGGTTCAGCAATTTTATTAATCTTTTCAATTTAGCAAGTTTGACTTTATTAATCTCTTTTATTGTGTGCTTCTTCTGTTCCATTAATCTTTTATGCTATCATTTTCTTTCCTTTATATTCTTTGGATTTAATTTGCTGTTCTTTTTCCAATATCTAACATTGAAATGGAGACTTGGTTTGTAGAATTTCTTTTAAAATATATGTGTATACCTTTCATTATAAACTTCCAATAAGTATGGAAAGCAAGTTGGAAATAATCAGTTTTAATTATTCAACCTGAAGTTCCCAGTAACTTCATTCTGAAATTAAATCCTTTAATAATTTTTTATAATATTGTGTGGATTAAAATCATTCTTCTACATCATTAGACCTTGCCTTTCCTAACCTTCCATGTTTATTCTCTTCTTTGGTGTGTGCTACTCCATCTCAGAGCACACTAGAATGCACTCGCTACAATTCTAGCTTTGGCACCCCACAGCCTGGCTGTGTCTAGTCCGCCACACGCTCTGCAGTCAACAGAACACTGGATCCACCTGTTAGTCAGTCAGCTCCTGAAATCTCGTCCTGTGAAAGCTTTCCTCACGATTGTGTTTTGTGGTTGTTGTTTTACTATTTTGTTTTGTATTTCTCTGTATCCTAATTTAGGGGTTATCAGGGTTCTGAATGTTTTAAATAAATGAACCCCATATCCACCTTCTGATCAATTCTTTTTGGCTATCAGGTTTACATTGTAAAGTGAACCGTGATTTCAGTTTATAATAGTGCCCATGTTGCTTTAATTTTGTGGCTGCATTATTTGGACCCTGTTGAATGGGGAGATGAATTTGCTTCCCCCCATGGAAGGTAAAACCAGATGAAACGAACTGATAATTCTCATTAAAAAAAAAAAAGGGGGATGGATTTATAATTTGGAGTGTGGCACTTCCACAGCCAAGTTTTTAGGTTGTGCAACATTTAACTTGGTTTTGTTCCATGGGTATAGCCTGGCAGTCACCTGACCAGTCCTCTTGGAAGTACATGCTCCAGATCACAATGGGGACATGGGGTCAGAGGGTGCATGAGTCAGCACACACCCACAAACTCCGCGAGGAAAAACAGCTCTAGCCGTTTGAGCAGGTATCATTAATCACCTTAGCAGATGGAAACCCTGTTAAAAAGTGACTCCTTCCAGATGCCAGCAGAGACCACGTTACCAAAGAACTGGTATGGCCCAAGCTCTTCGGATGGAATGATTAAAGGGGAAGGCACTCAGCACAGCCCTAAATAAGGAGAATTACCCATTGCTGGCAGTTTCTGGAAGCCATAATTCCCTGGGAACAGCCCAAATCTTTGGCCTCAATGCAATTAATCCAGGTGTGTTTCTCCAAAAATCTCACTGTTATCAGAAAAATCACACCACTTTTCTCATCACTCCTGAGGCACATAAAAATCATCATCCCCTATTGCCTGACATGCCCTGGAGTAAACTGGCCAGGCATATATTATCAGTAATTGTACACATTCCCTGAAGGCAAGAATTGCACTTGGCCAAGTTATAGGCATACAATACATATATAAAAAATAGGGGGGCTTCCCTGGTGGCGCAGTGGTTGAGAGTCCGCCTGCCGATGCAGGGGACACGGGTTCGTGCCCCGGTCCAGGAAAGATCCCACATGCCGCGGAGCGGCTGGGCCCGTGAGCCATGGCTGCTGGGCCTGTGCTCCACAATGGGAGAGGCCACAAAAGTGTGAGGCCCGTGTACCAAAAAAAAAAAAAAAAAAAGGCATTGATTATTTATTTCATAGAGAATCAGTCCACACTATTTCATGAACACCTAAAAAAAGTAAAATGCTTATAAGAAGTTGTCTTATAATGGTGGTGAGGATTAGGACCCTTTGAAAAGCCTGCTGTGTCACATGAGTCTATCACTCAAGGGGGAAAAGATGGTACATAGTTATCCAGTCATTTTCAGGAATACAATGCGCTCACACTACATTAAAATGTGTTAATGATGATCATAAAGCAAATGTTTCCACAAAAATAACCAGCACAAACTGAGTGATATAGCCCTGAGGGCATTTACTAACATGTTCAATGAGTATCAAGTAAATAAAAGAAGTTGTAAAACAAAAAAATTATGAACATCCAAATGTTCACAGAAAACTTATTTTCCCCTTTTTATTTTGAAAATTTTGAAATCTACAGAAAAGTTGCAAAAATAGCAAGAGAAACACCCATAGGCCCTTTGTCTGGATTCCTCAATGTTAAGCTTTTGCTGAACTTGTTTCTCGTCTGTGTGTGCGTGTGTGTGTGTGTGCACGAATATACTCTTGACCATTTGAGAATTACTTGCAGATATCATAACACTTCATCCCTAAATGCAAATCTCCTACGAATGAAGGCATTCTCCTATGTAATAATACAATTATGTCACTCAGGAAATATAACAGTAATACGATGCCATTTTCTAATACACGTCCATTTTCAAATTTGCCCGAGTATACCAATAACGTCCTTGGTTTTTTTAGTTTACTTTTCCTCTCTGGGCTACAATCTAGGGTCACACGTGTCATGTCTCTTCAACCTCCTTTAATCTGGGACAGTCTCCCGTCCTTGTTTGTCATTCATGATGTTGGCATTTTTAAAGGTCCAGGACAGTGGTTTTCCAGAGTGTGCTACAATTTGGATAGTCAGACTCAGTTTAAACATTCTGAGCATTAATACTACGCAGACGAAATGTGTCCTTCTTGGCGCATCAACAATCATGTGTTTCTCCCTTAGAACTTTCTCTCCATGCATCCTACACACAAACTCTGCTATTACTCATCCCCAGACTCTATCGCGGGGTGGGGGTGGAGGGTTACTTTCTCCTGCCGCTGCTAACACAGCCCACCTGCACAGGACGTTCTCTCTGTTCTTCGCCTGCTACCCAAGGGTTCCTTTGTTCACTGCTCAACTCAAGTATCATACTTACCACAAAAACTGTCTCTACTAGACTCCTCCAGGCATATATATCTCTCTCCAAAGTTCCTATAGTTGTCTAAAATCCACCCAGTACTTCATCACAACGAGTAACTTCATTGCTCCCCTTATATTAATACTAATCTTATCACAGTTGTGTACCTTGCCATCCCACTGGAATGCCACCGAATTGACAGCAGCGACCATGAACCTTGAATTCTCTACATTTGGACTGTATTTCCCAAAGAGCCTATCAGAATCCAGAGCACTTGGTAAACAGTAATTTTGTGGTCTTTGATGAATGAGTGAATTAACATTACCTTAATGGTAAAGGAAAAAACCCATACTGCAGTTAATTCCCCTTTGTATTTAAGAACTCATCCAAGAAAACTGTTTTCAATTTAGCCCCCCGAGGGCCATACAAATCCCCAGAGATTTTTTTCTACGTCTACATGTAACTGTACTTAAAAAAAAAAAAAAAAAAAAACTTAAAAAAAAAGTTTAAATTCTCAAGGAAATTTCTCAGGAATTAAGAATGGAGGCCAGCAGCGAGCCGGAGCTCTATGGAGGTGGCGGCTGCAGCAGCGACTCCTCTGAGCTGAGAGTTTCAGGCCAGTCCCGACTCCTTCCTCCCCCTTCCCTCCCCCTCTTTTGTTTTCCGTTCCCCTCCCCCTCCCTTCCCTGTCCCCACAACCGGATCCTGAGGCGGCAGCTGCAGTGGCAGCTGCTGAGTTCTCGGTGAAGGTTTTTCATTTGTTCCACCCCTTCCCTCCCCACCCCATCCATTAATATGATTCTTTTGAAGAGTCTTGGTTGTCAAGCCGCCAAAGTGGAGAGTGCGATTGCAGAAGGGGGTGCTTCTCGTTCCAGTGCTTCTTCGGGCGGAGGAGGAAGTAGGGGGGCACCTCAGCACTATCCCAAGACTGCTGGCAACGGCGAGTTCCTGGGGAGAACGCCAGGGCAAAAGGCGCAGAAATGGATTCCTGCACGAAGCACTAGACTAGACGAGATGACGACTCTGCAGCAAACAACTCCGCAAATGAAAAAGAACAACATGATGCAATCTTCAGGAAAGTAAGAGGCATACTCAGGAAGCTCACTCCTGAGAAGTTTGACAAGCTATGCCTTGAGCTCCTCAATATGGGTGTAGAGTGTAAACTCATCCTTAAAGGGGTCATACTGCTGATTGTGGACAAAGCCCTAGAAGAGCCAAAGTATAGCTCACTGTATGCTCAGCTATGTCTGCGATTGGCAGAAGATGCACCAAACTTCGATGGCCCAGCAGCAGAGGGTCAGCCAGGACAGAAGCAAAGCACAACATTCAGACGCCTCCTAATTTCCAAATTACAAGAGGAATTTGAAAACCGAACCAGAAATGTTGATGTCTGTGATAAGTGTGAAAATCCCCTCCTCCCCAAGGAGAAGGAACAGAGAGCCATAGCTAAGACCAAGATGCTGGGGAACATCAAATTCACTGGATAACCTGGAAAGCTTGATCT